CACGCACGCACACGCGCCCGGCGTGAGTTTTAAGCCACCGGGTCCGGAACATGAACCGCGGTCGGCTATGTGGGAGTCCAGCGACATAGCCATTATGCTAACTGCTGGTCCCCAGGGGTAGGACTCAAACCACAGTCAGCCATGTGGGGGTCCAGCACCCTAACCACCATGCCACCTGCTGGTCCCTATTCATTATTTTTTTTTAAGAATTATTTATTGATTGATTTGATTTTTTTCACTTGTTATAAGTCACATGTACTCACCAGAGAGAGAAAGAGAGGGAAAATGAGAAAGCAAGCCTCCAGGTCTGGGACTCAAACTGCAGTCAGCCATGTGGGAGTCCAGTGCCCCCACCTCCATGCTGCCTGCTGGCCCATTATGATTCTAACTTGCAATAATCATGAGAGACAGAGAGAGAGAGGGAAAGGGAGAAAGCAAGCCGCCAGGTCCAGGACTCGAACCACCGTCAGTTACATGGGAGTCCAACGCCTTAACCACCACATTTACCTGCAGTCCCCTTGCTTGAAATTATTACAAAATTAAGGCGGATTGGTGACAGTCCAAGCAATTGCACTTCCCAAAAGTGCCCAACAAGGCCGTTGTAGCTGCGGAGCTAATGCTGAGGGGGAGGAGTAGAGACATCAGGCTTGGGGTGGGGTACCCTGGGGAGGGGCCCACCCATATGACCTCAGGCTGGCTCTTCCCTAGGCCTCGGTTTCCTCATCTGCCCTGTCCAGTCCCAACATTTAGCTCCACCGTTCGTTAGCTCTACCATTCGTGCTTGCCCACAAAGGCAGACGCAGTTTGCAAAGTAAAACCGGCGATTACAATGACCATTATTAAGGGGTGGCTCCCTGTCCTTCTGCAAGGACAGGAGTGTGAGGGGAGCGAAAAACCCAGTGCAGAGATGCACTGAGACATGGTCGTCACAGGTGGCACCTGTCATAAGGATACCCACGTCGTGGGGTAGGAGAGTGAAATTCAGGCCTCTTTACCCCAGACCGCCCTGACGTGAAGCTGCCATCCCCAAGGAGCCTCAGCTTTTACTAATTTCCATGAAGGTGCTGTCTGAGCTATAGGGAATGAAGTTGCCTGAACCCTGTTGACAGTTGAGGCATATAACATAAGAGCAAGGAGCAGTCAACCAGAAGAATTAAGATCAATGAAAGAGCAGGCAGAGGGCCAGCCAGTGGCATGGTGGTTAAGGGGTTATATCCCACATGGCTAGCTATGTGGTTCAAATCCTGGATCCGATCACTTAAGAGACATGCTGGGCGCAGGACCAGCAGTTAGCATAATGGCTATGTCACTGGACTTGCATGTAGTCAACCATGGTTTGAGTCCTGGACCCGGTGGCTTAAACTCATGCTGGGCACGTATGCATGCATGCCCAAGATCCCGAGAGGAGGATGGAGGAGAAGGGATTGTGGCATGGCCATCCCCCCTGGGAGGTGATTTCTAGCTTTCTGTCTCTCTGGCAAGCGCATGCACCCTATAGCAAAAACCTCTCAAAAAAAAAAAAAAAAAAGAGAAAGAGAGAGAGACATGCTGGGTGCATGTATGTGTTCCCAACATCCCAAGAGAATGGAGGAGAAGGGATTACGGTTCAGCCGTCTTTTTTTATTTTTTTTAAATAATTATCTTATTTAATTTTATTTATTTACTTATTTCAATTTGACCAGAGAGGGACAGAGTAAGAGCAAGAGAAAGAAGAAAAGTGAGAAAGCAAGCCACCAGGTCCAGGACTCGAACCATGGTCGACCATGTGGGAGTCCAGCACCTCCAACCATTGTGCCATCTGCTTGTCCCCAGCCATCTTCTTTAGGGAGTGTTTTCTCACTTTCCCTCTCTCTCTCTCACCATCTCTCTAGTGAGCTCACATGCCCTACAGCAAAATAAATAAATAAGTAAATAAGAGCAGGCAGGGTGATGGTCACTCTCATCATCTCTGGTCTGGAGAGGTTGGTGGTCGAGTTCTCAGGACTCCTGAGTGTGGGCTGTGAAGGCTCCAGGGAGGAGAAGACACCAGAATGCTAGATGGCCAGCCAGCCCAAGCACAAGCAAATATGTTACCCCCTTTGGAAAACGGATGGCCTTCAATATGTTTTCCAAAAAGAAGTGCACGGCATGATTAATGGTGGTTTTCTTCACGTAAAGGGAAGGAGTGGCTTTCTCCCCCCTACTTTTCTTATTTCCAGAATTTCTGCCATGAGATGGGCCTTTCCAGAGGGGGAGCATATCAAGTTCCAGAGGATGAAAGTGAGATGCTAGCCTGGGCTTGGAATGGGCCCAATGCCTGCAGGGTCTCTGCTTCGCTGGTGGCTCTCTCTGGCCCCTTCAACCACCCACCCCCTTTCGCAGAGCACAAACCCAGTGGACTCCTTCCCACCTCTTCCCATGAGGCAGACCCATGGCCAAGCTCTGCTCTTCAGTCAGGCTCAAGTAGCAAGAGAAGCCACGGGGAGACCTTGTGAGGCTCCCACTTAGAAAGAGCGCAGCAGAGGGCGAGAGTGGGCAGATAAATCTGCCGGGGCGCCCTGGAGAGGCCAGCGCACCTAGGGCCAGCCTGAGAGGTTTGCTTTGGCAGTGTGCCCCACCTGGGCTTAGCACGGCCTTGCACAGAACTTGGTGTTCCAGAATGGGTGTCTGGAAGTTGTGGGGAGGGCAGGGAAGGAGTCGTGGGGAGGACACAGGGCACTTGCTGGGTCTGTGGGTGCCCGGTCACTGCTCTGTCGGGGAACTTAGGGAATGGAGAGAGAAAAGCCAGCTCCAACCCTACTTACTGTAATCAGCAAATATATGAGGTCCCCAAGAGAAAGTGGCTTCTGCCTGGGACAGATAAAATATACCTGTTTGGGGGCCGGCAGGGGCGTGGTGGTTAAGGGCACTGGACCCCCAATGGCCGACCGAGGTTTGAGTCTCAAGCCTGGCAGCTTGCTTCTCACTCATTCTCTCTCTCACTCTGTTCCTCTTTGGTCAAATTAAAATAAAAATTAATAATAAAATAATTCTTTTAAATATATATATGTGTACACAAAGCTGTTTTATCCAGCATTTCAAGTTGGTGTCCACAGGGTTTAACTCTCCTTTTAGTAAAGGGAGCCACAGATCACAAAAGAGACCATGGGGACAGGAATGGCCTCGCACCATGCCCTAGGGCCTCTACCAGAGCACCATGGCCTTGGTGCCCTTGTGTGCCGGTCAGGACCCTGGGTTCTCTAGGGTGCCCTTTGCCGGCCCTTCTGTCTCCTCTGCCTAGGAGGACATGTGAGCCGCAGTGAGCAGGTGTCTGCCTCTTTAGGCACACCTGACATATGGAAATCTGCGTTCGTAAATTAGGCTATTATTTTTTGCTTTATAAAATAACCCAGCTATAGAATTCTGTTAAATAGCAAGCATAGAAGATTGCGTAAAATCTGATTTGCTTTTTAAAGAAAAAAAAAGGGGGGGGTGGCGATGTGATAGCCACACTTTCCAGGTCCCCAAAGTTGCAAAGAGCAAGACAACTACAGCCTAACCCAGAAGGGGGAAGGGACTTGGGGAGGGGTATCCTTGGCAGGCTGAAGCAAGCCAGCTTTCGGTGATAGGTGGTGGGCCCTGCCATCTGCTTGTGCAGGGCCTGAGCTGGCCAAACTCAAGCTGGGCCCTTGCCCTGGTGCCCTGTAATCCCTGGATGATGGAAATCAGCCCCTCAGGCGGCCAGCCCCACCTCTGCTGTTTGCATAGCTTTGGGGCCCACAAAAGGTTTCCTGGGGCAGCCTGGACCTCTCACCTTTGGTGGCCAGCACCGTGGCATGCACATGGGTGCCCCAAGTCAGGCCCCTCCACCCCAGCTGGGGTCTGTGGGCTGATCTAAATGGCTTTGCCCAGACTGAGTCAGGCCCCTTCTAAGCTGGGACAAGTTAACCATTGACTGGGGCAGGGCGGAGAGGTGGGGAGAGCAAGCCAGCTCCCTTGTTGTAAGATAAAACCTAAGACCCACCCCCATCTCTCTGCAGGGCTCTTAATGGCATTAGGGTACCCTGGGTAGGATCGGGAGATGTTCCCACCAGCCTGCCAGAAACACACTCCAGGTTGTGGTGCCAAACGGGGTGGGTTCCAGTTCAGCAAGAGTTAATAGAAAACTTTCTGGAGTGAAACTTTCCCAGCAGGAGCTCTGTTGGAGGCCTGGATTGCCTCCAAGAGACCAGCAGGATGGGTCCACACTAGGTCCAGAGGAGACCGTGTGCCTGGGTTTCTCCTCCCCACTGGGCTTGCCAGGCAGAGAGGCAGAACTGGGTGCCCTGACTGGGGACTGTGCCTTGGTTTCCCCACCCGCTGGCCCTCTTCTTGTACCTGTAATCCCGAATGCTCCGGGCTGGAGGCGACACCTTCCCTAGAGGAGCAGAGCGCAGGAGCTGCCCCAAGGGTGAGACTGGGGGAAGAGGGGCAGCCTCCAGGGTGCTGCGCCAGGCAAGGCTGAGGCCAGGAGAGGTGGGTAGGAGCAGCTGCACGTCAGGTGCAGGAGAAACAGGTGCAGGAGCGGGTACCTGTTGGCGGCAGCTCCTGGAGTCAAGGTGAACCTGAAACCCAGCCCCTCCCGGCTAAGCAAACAGAAGCAGAGGCCGGCTCAGGCTGATGAATATTCATCTGCCCAGAAATCCAATCCCAGAGCCCCTGTAGCCACCCGAAGCCAGGGTCCCTGGGACCGCTGAGCAGGAGGAGGGAAAACCGAGAGGAGTCGGGGTGGGGGAGCACGAGGGCTTCTCTCCTCGGTTTCCTTACAGGTGGTTGGTTGCATCCCTAGCTGTACCCAGGGTCCGCCACCCCCACCCATTTCATCCCCAAGGAAGCTCAGACCCCTTTCTAGCAAGGACCACCAGCACGGGAAAGGGTTAAGGGCCACTGCTCCCGTTGGCAGGCTGGGCAGGATGGGGTGCACCCCAGCTCTCTTTGAACTCTCTGAGTCGAAACCAGTCCCTGGTTAAACTGGTTGGTAGACCGGTTTCCAGGTTGTCTGTTCCCTCCAAGCCTCAAAGTCCTCTCAGGCTGGCTGGCATCGGGTGGGGGGCTATGCTTCCCTCCAGACCCAAAGGGCCCTCCTCAAGCTCTCCCTGGGGTGGGGGGCAAGGGAGCACTGGCCACCCCTTGGGTCACCCCTGGAGGCTCTCTACAACATCAAGCATCCTCATCCCCCTGCTCCTTCACTTAGAGGTGGGCTTTGGGGCCCTTAAAATCCAGTGACCTCCCATGCATGTGGGCAAAGGGGCACTGGTCTTCTGCAGAGGCTTATACTTGTCACTCTCACAGTGACAGCCTCCTCACCCTCAAAGTACTGTTCAGCTCCGCTTCCCGCAAACTCCCAGCAATCTAGGAAGGGCCTTACTGAATATTTATTACGAAGTTGGCAGGACCTTGGCCAAGCTCTCAGGGAAAGGGAGACATGGGGTCTAGGGGAGGCCGGAAGAGAGGGAAGGCAGGAAGGCGAGCAGAGGAGCTCAGGGTTGAGGGGCAGGGACAGAGTGTGTGGCACAGGGGCCATTGTTCTCCTGCAAACCTGCCAGCAGCCAAGCCCGCCAGAGGCCCTCGGCGGAGTTGCTCTTGCAGTTGGCTTCGTACCTAGGAGAACGCTGCTTGTGGCTGGATTGGCTTTGCATCTTTCTCCCCTCGGGTGGGCAGCACTGGGGAGTGGAGGACACCTACTACATGCCCTGGGTCCGCAGGTTCTAGCATCCAGTGCTGCCCAGCTTAGATGCTCTGTCCACCTACCGGCTGCCTGTCTCCATATGTGTGTGTGTGTGTATTCACCCACATGCATAGACACACGCATACACACAGATACATGTATATACCTACGATGATCTTTTCATGTCTCCGCTTCCCTCATAGAGTTTTAACTCCTTTGGCCCACGATGTCTCCCTGAGACAGACTGTTATATAGCTGGAGCACAATGAAAACCAAGCATGTCTCTTTTTTTGTTTTCAGAGAGGTTTCTGCTATAGGGTGTGTGCACTTGCCAGAGAGACAGAAAACGAGAAGTCATTCCCCCAAGGGGGATGGCCATACCATGATCCCTTCTTCATTCTCCTCTTAGGATTTTGGGCACACACGCACACCCACCCAGCGTGAGTTTCAAGCTGCTAGGTCCAGGACTGAATCGTAGCTGACCACATGGGAGTCCAGTGCCTTAGCCACTACACCATCTGCTGGTCTCGAAACAAGCATTTTTTTACCCAAAGAAACTCTTAAGTATCCAGTCGTCGTGCCCTTCTCTCCCTGGTACACGTACATATGCGAGAGAACACTTGCATTTGACTTCTCATGGTTCCAGCTACACCAGGCTTTACTGTTACCATCTCCCTAGGGGTTGGTGGGAATTGGAGGATATTATTATTATTTTAAATAATTATTTTATTTAACCGTATTTATTATTATTATTATTTTCTAGTTTTATCAGAGACAGAGAGCGGGAAAGTGAGAAAGCAAGCCACTAGGTCCAGGACTTGAACTGCAGTCGGCCAAGTGGGAGTCTAGTGCCTTTAACCACCATGCCACCTGCTAGCCTTGGAGGATATTATTCCACAAGGTCTGCCTGCTTCTAGTGCAAAGCACATACAGTTGTCCCAGAAAGCTGCCCACAGCTTCTTAGATCTGTCCCTTTCTCTGTTCTATGCGGAGAGTGGATGTCCTGGCTCAGAAGATACCAGAAGAAGCCAAAAACTCGTTTCAGCTCAGGTATTGGGGAGAGACCAGAGGACATTAGGATGGGCTTTGCCTGGAGAACAGGAGCTAGGCCAGCTCCCCATTGCCCATCTGGGCAAGAAGGGGATTGCCCTGGAGGCACTTGGCCCCACACTGGAGGAGTCCTAGTGAAAGCTGCAGTGAAAGATCCCCTGGTGGCCTGCCCTGGGTGTGGCCAGGACCAGGTCCAAGCCCGGAGGCCCCAGCCCATCCTCCTGGGAGGGTCCAGCAAGGAAAGTTAGGCCCAACCCCTGGCCTTAGGGGATTCATTACTGGGAGGAGCAGAATGGGGAAGAGACTTCTAGATAAGGCTGTGAGCTGTTAAGATAACTGCCCACGCAGGCTGCTTTACTGCCTCCTGAAAATCTACACCTTTAAGGGCACCTTTCTAACACTGGTTCAAGGGTGATAGGCCGTGTACAACCTGCAGCCTGCGTGTCTTCAGCAGTACATCCTCGTTGAAGCAAGACGGTGCACCGAGGCCCTGCCCTCAGGGGCACACAGCACAGGACCCCACTAGACGACAAGTCCAGTCTGGATTACAAAATCTTTCCTTTTTTTTTTTTTCTCTTTAAATTTGTCACAGGGTGTGTGTGCTCACCAAAAAGACAGAGAGGGAGAAAGTACGTTTCCCCCCATGGGCATGAACACACTGTGACCCCTTCTCCATTCCTCCAGCCTGTTGGGGTTTGGGGCACACATGCACACGGTGTCCAGTGTGTTCATCAAGTTCACGCGGTTGGGGTTCCAAGTGCATGGTCGGCCATGTGGAATCTGTCTCCCTTAACCATGGGACTGGCCCTATCCTTCCCGTTTATTTATTTATTTATTTAATTTTACTTATTATTATTTAATTTGCTATAGGACACACGAACTCACTAGAGGAGAGAGAGTGAGAAAGCAAACCGCCAGGTCTAGGACTTGAATCACAGCTGGCAATGTGGGAGTCCAGTGCCTTAACCACCACGCCATCAGCTGGTCCTATCATTCCCAATTTGCTGACCTCTGCCCAGGAAGTAGATCTAGGCTCCAGGGATATTTTCTTTCCCAATCAGGGAGAAGAGAGAAGTTCTTTCCAGCACTCCCCCTTTTCCAGAAGGCCAGGAGTGGAGGGTGGGGGAATGAGCAGCCGGTATTTATGGGGATCACATTTACAGGCGCTCTCCCAGATGTTCTGCATGTGTGAGTGCACGACACTGCCGACCATCTTCTGGGGCAGGTCCAGTTGCGATCTGCCTGTTACTCTTTCTGTGAGCTTCCTGTGACCTCCATAGCTGGTTACTGTAAACGTGGTGGCTCAAAACAACAGGAAGTTATTCTCTCGTAGTTCTGGAGCACAAAGCTAGAAACCAGGTCCACCGGGCCACGACCAGGGAGAGGGCAGGATGGGAGAGGGCAGGACCCTGATCTCTCTGGAAGCTCCAGGGGGAATCTCTCCCTTCCTTCCTTCACTCCTGGTGACGATAGTCATGAGGGCTTGGCTACATCTGGTCTCTGCCTCCTCTGTCTTCCGTCACCTTCTCCTCTGCTTGTTTCCCATCTCCCTCTGCCTCTCTCTCGCTCTTTTCCCTCTATTCATAATGGAACGTGTGTGCACACACCAGAGGGAGAGAGAAGCACCCCCTGCTTCTGGTCACATTGCAGTCCCCTTCCTTCAGTCCCACAGCCCATGACATCCTGGGGACTTGTGCATGTAACCAAGCTAGGGATTCGAACCACAGTTGCCCTGTGGGATCTGGCTTCTCTTGAGCAGTACATTTTCTTTCTTTTTTTTTTTGGTGGGGGGAGAGGTTTTTGCTATAGGGCGCATGCACTCGACAGAGAGACAGAAAGCGAGATGGGAGATGGCCACGCCGCAATCCCTTCTCCCCCATTCTCTTCTCAGGATCTTGGGCATTCACGCACACATGCCCGGCGTGAGTTTAAGCCACCGGGTCAGCGACATAGCCATTATGCCAACTGCTGGTCCCTTGAGCAGTACATTTTCATGGCACCAAGACACAGAGCCTGCCTTGCCTCTTTCTTTTTTTGGAGAGGTTTTTGCTATAGGGCACATGTGCTCACCAGACAGACAGAGAGATATAGAGACAGAAAGCGAGAAATCACCCCCCAGGGGGGATGGTCACGCCGCAATCCCTTCTCCATTCTCCTCTCGGGATCTTGGGCACGCACACACACGCGCCCGGTGTGAGTTTAAGCCACCGGGTCAGCGACATAGCCATTATGCTAACTGCTGGTCCCTGCCTTGCCTCTTTCTGATAAGGATGCTTAGGGTGGCATTTAGATCCCACCCAGATGATCTAGGGTTATCTCCTCATCTCAAGATCTTTAACTTACATCTGTAGAGACTCTTTTCCAAATAAATAGGGTCATACTTACCAGTTCCTGGGCTTTGACATGGGGACCTTTTGGGGGGCCATTTTTCAGCCCACTGCACTTTTTATTCTGACCCCCTATGTTGTTAGACTGTGGAGGACAAGGAGTGTGCCTCCCAGACCCTTTCAAAGTAGGACCTTCTGCCCAGCCTTGGGGATGTGTTAGCAGCTGGCCACCAGCTGGCAGCCCTTAGGCCATAAGGGTGGCCCTATTGTTCCCATTT